AAAAAAAAAAACAAAACAAACATCTGATCCACAATCAGATGGTGACCCCATGAACTGTGGACGTCTGACATCGCCCCCTATTACATCATCAACATGAAGTGTGTGTCCTCTGTAGTCCCCAGGTCGTATCTTTAGTGCGTCAAACAGCTGAATGTTGAAAATAACCACAAATCGTTGTGAAACAGAAAAGACAATTAATGAAAGCAAACACTGATTTCATAAGACTTGTCAGTTTATGGAGGAGTGTCTTAAAAAATATCTCCAAAAGAATAGGACAATAAATGCATATACAATACAAATATAAATAAATAATAGAATAAATACATAAATACAAAACTGTGGAAATATATAGGAATAATTACAATTATTTTAATTTATTTTCACATTCACTTGTTTGCTTATTATTGTTATATATTTCTGTATATATTCTATTTATATATCTGTATATATTTATTTTTACATATAAAAAATACATTTATTTATTGCCTATAAATTACTAATTTTTCAGTATATTTAAAATCTACATATTCTTATATAAAGTAGCATATTTATTTTTCTTATTCTTTTCCATATTGCTTTTGCTATGCCTTGAAGGAAACAAGCTGTCAATCAACTGTCTGTGGGCGGGCCAGTAAGGTCTGCACATGTAAATCCTGCTTTGGTTGAGTTTCTTTAGCGCGGACAACTGTTTGAATATTTATATTAGGTTAATGATAATATACAGTAGTTAACTATACGCAGGTATGAAAGGACCGCTTCCTCTGTTAAAGAGATCCATAACCACACGTGCTCACTGGAAACATTTCCACCCTGAGATCTGTTTATCTCACATCTCAATGTGTTTTAATTTCTCCTCCCCAACCAGTCAGTCAGGCAGAGTGGCTTCTGTCAGTCTACACCTGCAATCATTCCATCTGTCGCTCTTTGACTTTGTCTCTCACTTCTTTGTCCTCCAATTGCTACAATCGCTTCAACAGTCAGGGTTCAGTTTAAAATCCTCCATGTTTCCCTTCTTTTCTTTATTTTTTTCATTTACTCACTTCAACATCTATGTGATCAAAATAAGACTTTCCCTGAATACAAATTTGTTAACTGCTTATTTGTGCCTT